TTCTTCCATGGCAAACCGGCATTCACAATGGCATCACACAGCTGGCAAAATATCTCCTGAGCGGTGGTGTGGCCATGCATTGGAATTACTGTGAGCAACTCCTCCATCACTTCAAAATTGTCATCAACACCACGGACGTATATTGTGAGCTGGGCAGTGTCAGTGATGTCTGAACTCTCGTCAAGAGCGACTGAGTATGCATTGAAAAATTTGGCTTTCTCACGCAGTTGATCATAAATGTCACTTGACAGGTCAGAAATGCGCTCAGCCACGGTGTTAGCAGAAAGGCTGATGTTGCTAAACTGACCTTTTTTTCCGGACAGACTATACTTGCAGCCTGTAAGATGCGCTTTTTGATAAACTCGCATTCTGTGAATGGCTTTCCTGCCTTAGCAATCATCTCACTAACCACGTAGCTTACTTCGACTGCTGCATTATTCTCTTTGGTTGCTTTCTTGAAGACATTTTGTTGCCTCAGTAGACATGTTTTAAGATTGGCAACCCGGTTGGCTCTCTCATCTCCCTGGTATTTTGCATACTCCTCAGCATGTCTAGTTGAGTAATGACGTTTGAGGTTGTATTCCTTGTGCACCGCAACTTTTTCTGAACAAATAAGACACGCCGGGGTGCTCATGTGCTCAACAAAGAAATATTGCATCTCCCACCTTTTCCTGAAATTGTCTGTGCTCGTCACCAACCTTTCTCTTCACTGCAGGCTTTGAAAAAGACATGATTGGGGCTGTGTGACAAGATATATATTCATTCCACTTGCTGTCGCTCACGCAATAAAGTTTCAGTCACGTGTTTAGCCAACCAGGGACGCACGGAGACGTAATTTCCGCAAATGCACATCATTTCCGCTTTTTCCGGTAACAGGTGCGTAGATTATGGGGGGGGGGGTAATGCGTTCCCATCAGATTTCGTCCCCACACCGCAGTCACAGGCAGACACAGCTGTAGCGGCTGCTACTATACACGCTTCTCTGTTCAGAGCACGGGGATCTGAGCCGGGATGAGCTGTGGATCTGCGCTTTGACGCGCTTCGGTGCGCGCACAGTGGAGAGCCGAAAGAGGGAGAGGAGAGGACTATATGTGGCAGCGTCATTGTGTGACCACGGGGTTCAAATGCTGCTGGCCACTGTCGGGGCTTTCGCTGCCTTCAGTCACATCATCACATTTTTCTATACATTTTTGTGCTTACTTTGTGCCGGCGTGTTGGCTTGCCTGCGTTCCAGGACTTATTTGAGCAGATCCAGTACCTCTCGTATCGAAAAAAATATGAATATTAAAAAAAGTTTTTAAAGAAATGATTAAAATAAAATATAACATTATAATGTAATCACTAGAATATTACGGAGCCCCTGTTGACATCGGTGGATGAATTACTAATTTGTGGCCACGCAATAACAAGATAATCTAATAAGTTATATATAAAGCTTTCTTAACAACAGCATCACAATTTCATAAAATAATAACAAATGCAGACTTCTAAGATGAACCAAAATAATTATGCACATCGTCATGTACAGTCTGTGGCTCGGTGCGTAAATGTCACCACCAGAGGATGAGGGAGTTTAAATCATTAAAATTCATCCACACATATCAGGTGTAAATAATAATGTAAAACAGCCCAGACTGTACAATGTAGATATTAGCTCAATGACGTGTTATAAACTGCTGCGGTTTAGAATAATCCGTCTGCCTAAAGAAGCTCCCAAAACCTCACAGCGCAGTGTGTGCGTAGAGGAGCTGTGGTGTCCCTTGAATTTGCCTTCAATTTAACAAATGGTGTGTGTGTGTGCTCCGTTCGTTTTCTCCGCTGGACACAGAAGTCGCCTTTGCTCAAGATGCCACTTTATTAATCACTGACACAAAGACTGCTACCGTCACTGCAGTATAGCCTAAATAAGTCCCACTGCATTGTAAGTGGCATGTGTGTGCTGTTTTAAGCGTCGTTTTACGTGCGTTCCGGGACCTGTGCTCGTCGTACCTGCGCTGTCATATGTACTTAGCGTTCCGGCACCTTGTGATTTACAAATGAAGCATTGGATACATCATGATCTGCGCGAAAGAGGGTGGAAAACTATTAATTTCACCCTCCTGCTTTCCGCACATCAAAAGCCACTCTTTTCTCTCCCCGGCTGTCTCTCTCACTCTCACACGTACACAAACACACACACACGACCCCGCCCCCCATGTCACTCACATGCAATGCCGCATTCACTGGACAGGCACACAGTAGGAAACCAGAGCATCATAACATTGTCCCACACAGCAGCTAACAGCGGGGTTGCTACAATATAAAACTTGCGGGCTGCACTAACATTACACTTTCATATTAAGGTGGGGGCCACAAAATATCGTCCCGAGGGCCGCAATTGGCCCGCGGGCCGCGAGTTTGAGACCCCTGCTTTACACTCAGTGAGGCTTTCCTGGCTAAACAAGTGTAACATTCCCTTATAATTCCCTGAGATAGTTTTTAATTAAAACATTTAAATTCAAAATTAACTCACAGCGGCCTAAAGCCTACGGCTAGGCCTAAAGCCTAGAACTCTCCTTTCGTATCGTACCCCCGCCATTTTATTTTATTATAGCCATTAATTTGTTCGTTCCTACCAGCCCACCCCGCAGGGACCGGTTTCACCCGCTCATCCCGGTAACTCAAGAAGCACATCAAGGGGAGGGGCACTTGATGTGCAACTGGCGGCATCATCCCGAGTCTCTCCCACGGGACGGGGTTGCGAGGGGTACACGTGCCGATTCCGTCGTTGTGGGCGCCAGACAAGTCTGGCAGTTTCCAATACACACAAATACTGTACCCCCCCCCCCCGTCACTCCTCCCCCACCCGTGGAGCCTTCACAGAAAGCGCTGTTTGGGGACGTCCATAAATGACGTCACGCGATTTTGGACGATTTTTGACTCCCCCTCCCCCGCCTTCGTCACACGGCGTCACAAAAAGTCAGACCCCCCCTCTCGAATATGACGTCACAAAGCTCTGCCCCCTCCCCCCAAAACCATATTTACATTTTGAAAATAAAACGTGCTTCAAATCGCTTTAAACTATTGTCATTGTAGTGCGTATTTACTGTGGCGCTGCACTCTGATGTCGTAGGAGAAAACATTTATTAAAAAGTCTATTTAATTCAGTAGAACGTGTTGTCTATATTTATTTAAAGTTGCGCATTTTGATGTGACGTCACATTTCTCAAACCCCCCTCGTCACACATCGTGCGTGACGTCATTTATGGACGGCCCTTAGCGAGCAGTACCGATGAAGGCCCAACAGGCACACTTAGGGGGTTGGTGGCCAGCATCACGCCCGGCCGCCTTTGCCTCCCCAGTGCGATGTTTGTATTTTTACTTTACACATCGCACTCGGTACTCATTTGAGGCTGAGTCGACTTTGACGGGGACCGGTTCAGATAAGCGTCACTGGTGTTGGCCGTGATCCGGGAATCGAACTCGGGTCGCCCGGGTTCGTAAGCACAGAGCTCGCGAACCACTGCACCACCGCTCCCCTGCCACATGGGGACAGGACATCCCAACCAACGGGATGAAGCAGTGATATTTTAAATATCTGTCTGTGTGTTCGACCATGGATGAAGCAGTGATATTTTAAATATCTATGTCTGTGTGTTCGAGCATGGATTAAGCAGTGATATTTTAAATATCTGTGTCTGTGTGTTCGACCATGGATGAAGCAGTGATATTTTAAATATCTGTGTCTGTGTGTTCGAGCATTGGATGAAGCAGTGATATTTTAAATATCTGTGTCTGTGTGTTCGAGCATGGATTAAGCAGTGATATTTTAAATATCTGTGTCTGTGTGTTCGACCATGGATGAAGCAGTGATATTTTAAATATCTGTGTCTGTGTGTTCGAGCATTGGATGAAGCAGTGATATTTTAAATATCTGTCTGTGTGTTCGACCATGGATGAAGCAGTGATATTTTAAATATCTGTGTCTGTGTGTTCGAGCATTGGATGAAGCAGTGATATTTTAAATATCTGTGTCTGTGTGTTCGAGCATGGATGAAGCAGTGATATTTTAAATATCTGTGTCTGTGTGTTCGACCATGGATGAAGCAGTGATATTTTAAATATCTGTGTCTGTGTGTTCGAGCATTGGATGAAGCAGTGATATTTTAAATATCTGTCTGTGTGTTCGACCATGGATGAAGCAGTGATATTTTAAATATCTGTGTCTGTGTGTTCGAGCATTGGATGAAGCAGTGATATTTTAAATGTCTGTGTCTGTGTGTTCGACCATGGATGAAGCAGTGATATTTTAAATATCTGTGTCTGTGTGTTCGAGCATTGGATGAAGCAGTGATATTTTAAATATCTGTGTCTGTGTGTTCGAGCATTGGATTAAGCAGTGCTATTTTAAATATCTGTGTCTGTGTGTTTGAGCATGAATCGAGCTGTGATATTTTGAATGAAATTTTTGTCAATTATTATTAATTGGTAAAGTGATTCTTGTCACACGGTTTGTGGCTCGAAGCCCCATATTAGGCCGCCCCTTGACTGGCTTCCCTCCTTATGAACATTATTTATTATTCAGTCGCGGATTAATTTTATACTGTTACAGCGCGATCGTGGCTTTTGTGTTTGTTGAACTTATTGTGCAGCGTACGTAGCCAACCGCGCTAATCGGAGGTGCAGCGGAATGACAACAAACTTAACTCAGAAAGCAATTCTCAAGAAAATAGTTTTCAATCTGGATTTAAAAGCAAAAACTGCAGCTCCAGTGGCTTCCTAATATCGGAAGGAAGAGAGCGTTCCAGACGGCCACAGCAGCGCGTCTGAAAGCGCCGCGCGATGCGGTGACCGCCGCCGCCTTTGTTCGATGGCTCAGCCAAAAGCCGCCGCTACCAGGGTTGATCCGAGTTCGCGTGGTGGTGGTTTCCACTTCTTGACGAGATCAGCAGGACGACTCCACACAATTGCGTTGGTCTGTTCAATAAACACCCACAAAGAGCAACCACACGTCTGGGAACTTCTCTGCACATGCATCGCGCCATCATTTTATTCGTTAGTTTCACTGCAATTTCTTTTAAGATTGTGCCAAAAGAAAGGATTATGGTGGTGGGGACAGCTTCAGTTCAACAACGCTGTCGCCTTACAAGGGAGTAGAGTGGGTGGTGGACCACGAAATGTACCCTCTTTTTCCGAGCACATCAATCAGTGCCGTCGCCCGAAACGTCGCCTATTACATAGTTTCCCTTTCATGGTCACAGTGAGATTGACGAACGCGTTGAGTTGATTTTGTTATGTGCGCTTGTACGCCACTTACCGTCTCGGCATCACCAAATAATGTGTTCAGTATACAGGACACACAAATATGTATCACTGTTCGTATCAATACAGTCCTTCTGTTAATCTACCGCTGGATGAGGGCCTCCCCATATCCTTGCGTATGGTGGCGGTTGTTTGACCATACTTCACCACGCCGGTCAGTGCGAGTTGGTGGAAGGTGGGCAAATATAATGGATGTACAATGCATGGCGGATATACAAAACTGTATTCGTGATCGCGGTATAAGCATGAATGTACACAGTCTTCACTCCCGTAACGAATCATCAGTAACTCGGACGTAGCTGCCCCACTCCTCTGTCGAGGATAAAAACTTTTTGCTTGCTGGGTTCCCTGCCGTTGGAAGGTCACCTATCGATTAAATATTTGGTTTAATACATTTAAATATTGACGTGTTGAAAAGTGGTATGTACATGAATGCTTCGCCACGCAAGTTACCGCACTCGAGTTTGTCTTACTAACATTCGGGTCACGCTGCCTCCACGTGTTGCAGAACGTGCGACGAGGTTATTTTCTCAACGTGGATTTCCCATAAAAATTCAGAGGCCCGCCGCAGGCGATGTCACCGATGCCACCGGACCTCGGCATCGCTCCCTTTCTACCTTCCTCGAGAATTGGCAACTTGCTCCGTCGGCCACACGTGACCTCCGAGGAGCGGCCCACCTCACATGACCCCGCCGTCCTCACCCCGTTGGCCCCCGTCACCCCCTTCGTCCGCCAAGCGCTGGGCGGACAGTCGCGCCTCCGTGAAAGGTTGAAAGTGCCGCCCTGCCGCTGTGCTCTCTCGACTGCCAGTGGTAGGTTCCCAGCTGTCAGCAGTTCTGGAGAACCCCGCCAAACAAGGTTATCTTGGCCTACTCTTCCAGTGTCTTTGGGGGTAATCTGGGAGTACTATCCACGCTTTACCCCAATGCACGCGACCTACCGATCCACTAAGTGGGGTGCCCCCCATGTGTACTGCTGGCGGGTTTCAATCGTCCATTGTTCCAACTGCCGCACCGGAGGGATCTAACATGTGATGGGCGACCTCTGGATTGCAAAGTCCATTGTGGCTAAGCATTGAACCACGACAGCTTTCCCCCATCTCAATGATGTGCCCTGTTATGATAACGATGACAATTACTCAATCACAACAATGGTAACATTATCTGCGACCAATTATTTCTTTAAAACACATGCAGCAATTACTGTAGAATGGCGTAGTAAACATAAATACACATTTAAATGACAGTGCTTCGAAGCCTTGAGTGTGCATGTACGCACGTGGAACTTCTTTCGCGCCGTACGTAGCCAACCGTGCTAAGCGGAGGTGCGTGTTCGTAATATCTCAACAACGCTTTTATACTTAGTTTAAACCCAGGATACCCTAATTACAATGGAAGAGCTCAACACAGTGTTTGTAATTCATAGTCAGTCGCTCAGAAAACCAGGAGGGCAAACCTCCGTTTGATGTAACTTGCGTGTTTACCTGTAGCAGTCACAAACACCCACCACACACTGTACCCTGAAAAGGGCAACAAAATATAAAATATATAATCGGTGACATTATATGCAGTAACCTTTCTTCTTTCATAGCACGCAGAAGAAGGTCCATTTCCCGAATCGTTGTGTATTAAATGTACTTGTGTATTTACATATATACTTTCATTATGTGTTTTCCTTCGAAGTCAGTGTTATTGATGAATGTGTTGAGTTTTTTCTTTTGCTCTCAGTGCTTGTGCATCTCTGCCAAGGCAGTATCACCCCGTCGCTTCGTTTGAATGCCTGCTGGTGGCGGACCTTTTGCGAGGTCACGGAAATCGTTAGGGTGGAAGCATTTTCAACCTCCCGGCGTTGTGTTTATAAAAAAAAAATAGTTTGTGTAAAGTCCTGACCACGTGGCTTTTTAAGCACGCGTTGTTTTTCCCAGTCAAAAGTGTTGCAGTTTGGACTTTTCACGAATGACCCATGGCCCGTCCACAACTTCTCTTGGCAGCGTGTGCAGCCCGATTGTTCACTCTCCTCCTGCTGCTGCCGGGTGCCGTTCAGCGACGCTCACGCGGCCGCCACAGCGACGCGGGATGACGACGCACTCCTCGCTGCGTCAATCGACGTGCGGGACGGGACCGCTTGCGCCTGGGAAGTTGACGCGACCACAAGGCACCGCTCGGCGTTGCTTTCACCGAGTTAGAGATTTTTCGCCCTTCCCAGCAACTTATTCAAATATTTGGGCAAGTCGAACATCGGAGATTTCCTGCCGTCGACGCGGTCCGCCCGCAGCTGCGCCAGAATGTCCGAGCAGGAGGACGAGCGCGGCACCGACCTGCGCCTGCTCGCCGTCACCCACAGGCTGTCCCTCCTGGCCACGCGGCCGCTCGTGGAGCGACGCGCCTCCCCCGGCGGTTCCGCGCGCCGCCGGTCGCCCGCTTCGCCCCTCGGAGACGACGGCGCTCCCCGCGCCGGTCCCACCCCCGGAGGTCCGTCGACGGCACCGACGACGGCGGGCCTCTCCGCCTCCGACCCGTCGGATTGGGAGCGGGCGTCTGGGGCCAAGAAGGCCGCGTCGTCGCTCTCTTGCTCCGAGTCGCTGCAGTGCTCCACGAAGATGGAAATGCGGCAGGAGCTCCCCTCGGGCAGCCGCTCGGGCCTCCCCGCTGTTCCGGCGCCGTCCGCGCGCAACGACGCGCGCCGGGGGACCGGCGGAACGATCCTCGGTCCGGATATGAACTCCGTGGACCTGCTGACCTTCGGCGACGACGCCGCCACCTTCGCCGACCCCCTCTCCTTGGCGTCCCTCAGGCTCGAGCGTCGCACGCCGCTCCACCGGTGCGTCCTGGGGCTGGCGGCGGGCTTGTGCCGCCGCTCGGGCGACGGCGGGCTGCTCAGGCTGTAGGGCTTGCCCGTCGGGGACAACAGCCGGGGGCCGTCCGGGGACAGCAGCGGCGTCCACCGCCGCTTGGGGCCCGCCCGGCCCAGCTGGCTGCCCGCGGCGGTGTGGAGGCGCACGTCGGAGGCGGCGCTCCACAGCAGCCGCGAGGAGCGTCGCCCGTCCAGCGACGAGGAGAGGCTGGCCTCGTCATCGCCGCTGTCGTCGGCGCAGTCCAGGAGCCGCCGCTCGGCGTCGGGAGACTCGGCGCTGGCGTCCTTCCTCGAGCGCAGGCTCCTCCTCCCTTGCGCAAGATCCATGTCCCCCGCCTTGTAAGGAGACGCGAGCCAAACAAAAGAAACACAATGGTAAACATTTTTTTATTTCACCAGGTAAGGCCCACTGGGCTATAATAGGTATTTTTCAGAAGCGAGCTGACTGTCACAAATAATAGCTCAACGAAGTGGCTTGTCACGTGGAAATACGCGTGACGTCGATTCTAAATGTGGAGGGGAAAACTGGAGGACCCGGAGAAAAATCCACGCCACCACGGGGAGAGAGACACGCAGACTTCAAATATACAGCAGGCGTCAGGGTCAGGATCGAACCCACGACCTCCTGTATACCAGGCGAGGCAGTTAACATTTCCTAGCCACCCTGATGATGGTGAAAGAGACACCGCAAACTCCAAATACACAGCAGGCGTCAGGGTCGGGATTGAAGTATTGAACCCACGACCTTCTGTATGCCATCGCGGTACACCAAACGCTACTCGAGTGCATTATTACATCGCTGAAAACAGTGAGGTGTGGTGGTGGCTTGGGGAGGCCTTCATCCAGTAGTGGATTGACCTTGACTGCTGATGATAATCATGATGATGATGATGCATTTTCAAAATAATCTTCATCCAACGCAATTGTCGCAGCTGAAATTTCCTGGTGTCAGTTGAACACTGTTTAGCGAGTCCCATCTCTAATCCTTACTCTCAGGCTACCAGGACGCCGTGCCGCGATTATCGCTTCTAAATTCCCCTCCGTGCGCTGCGTTCCAGGGACCAACTGGGAGCGTTCCACGGTCCGTGCCTCCTGCTGGGAGCCACGCTCACCTTGTGAGCACAGGTGAGGGGGGACTGTGGAGTCTAGTGGGGAGCGGTGGTGCAGCGGTCCACGCAATGCGCTCCGAACCCGGCGACCCGGGTTCGATTCCCGCTCACCGTCAACACCCGGTGACGATTATCTGAACCGGTCCTAGGCCTCTTCTAGGTCGACTGAGCCTCAGTTACCTGGTGTGGTGTGTAAACACCGCCACAGGGGAGACAAAGGCGGTCGGGCGTGGCCAACCCACCCCCTTGTGTGCCGTGCCGGCCTTCATAGGTGCTCGCTAATAGCACTTGCCCCAAAAGTCTGCTGAGGCTATACGGGGGGTATCAATCTAGGATTGAATCTTTCGTGAGTGCAGGAATTACTATACTCATTGGTTCTTTCGGTAAAGTCACGTATGTAGAAAAAAAATGAAAATAGATCACGACGTTTCGAACGCAACACAAGCGCTCGTCCTCGAGTAAAAATGGCGTAAGCCACACAGCGAGGTAACACACAGAGGGACATCACACACAGACATCACACACAGACATCACACACAGATCACACACAGACATCACACACAGAGCACGCAGAGAATGGCAAACTGCACGGAGGCAAATACAGCAAGCAGATGGGAGATGCGAACTCAGCAAACCTTTGAAATATCATGCGATGCAAAACCAGTCGGCCAACAACACAGTTAGACACTACACCTGGTTGAGCACGTATTTCAAAAGACTGCTAAATCTTGTGCTCA